CTCATTTAACCTTCTGACATTCAACGATGAAACAGTGCAGAAATTACATGGTAAAATATTAGCCCCTGTTGGCCCATGGCTTCATCCAAAGAGCACGGTGCCTGAAAAGTACAGGCTGAAAATACAGTTCTGTGGGAACATTTATCCAAGCGCACCCTTGGAAAATACATTTTTATTGAGCTACTCATTGTAACGGGTTTATTTTACTAAACTTTGGACTCACTCTCACCTATGGAGTTGGTTTTTGAAGACGAGGTCATTTATGAGAAGGGGGTGATTTAGTGCCTTCAATTTAAAGCTTTTATAGGTGTAAGTTGCCTTCATGTCACCTTCAAATACACACAGCCCTTGTCTTTGGATGCGTGAGTGGAAACTGGCCAAGTGTGAGAGGTGACTGCATCTCCTCTGACATTTTTTGCTACGGTAAAAAAAAACGTATGATTTGTTTGCAAATGGCAGCTCTCCACACCCCCAGATGTGCCTGCACAAGAGAGAGAGGTAGGCAAGGGCTATAGGAAGAAAAGCCTTCCTGGCCCAGCACAGGAAAAACACCGTTGATGGCAGAGAACCCGCCAGGTAACCCAAGAACACATGAGCTGCAGAGGCCTGGGAGGGGGCTGAGAGCTCAGGGGGCGCCCAACACTTGACACCAACACACCTGTGGGGCATACTCTGCCCCATGCCAGCTGCCCAAGGAGCTGGACCTTTCTTGGTGGGAAAAGGGAGGATGCAGGAGATCTATTGGGAGCATCCCTGCAGCCACGGAAGGCTCTGGAAACTACTTCTTAAATGCACAGACCTCCACGGAGAAGGCCGTGCTTGGGCCCTATGATCGGATACGTAACAGGTCTGAGCAATGCTGTGTTTCCAGCTGACTCACAGCCAACAGAATATGGGCGGCGCCTTTAGATTTTCACAGCAAAGTTTAGAATCGGAAAGCAGAAGCAGAGAGCAGAGGAGGAAATGCATGAGGCACCAGACAGACACCAAGGACCTCTGCCCAGGCACTGCTTCTGGGAAGACCCATATTTAAAGAGCAACACACTCATGGCGACACACTCAACACTTGGCTTTCATGATCAGTGCTAAGGGGAACGCACAGCAGAGCACTCCTCAGGGGACCCTCACCGTCACGTCCAAAGAGAAACGAATCTCACCCAATGGTTATTCTGCACAAGCCAACCAGGTCTATGACACCAGATGGACTGAACATTGACAAGAAGCAAGTAAAACTAAGCAGAAACGAGGGAGGTTCAAACACTTCCATCGCACCCGTTTTGTTTCTTACTTTTCCTAAAACCAAAGGGAAAAGAAAACATTTGCATAAGTTCATTGAGCCAATACAGAAAGCTACGAGTTTGCTTTGGGAGATGCATTTTGGTCCACGGATTTAACTTGGAATATTAATAGATAGCCATCCCCCTACAGAGTATGAAATGTTTTAATGCAACAGAGAAAATTCCTTGAAGAACATTCATGGTCAATGGCTAGCCTTGCACTAAAGTTCAAACCCACATCTCCTTCCCTGTCGTCCTGGATTCACGACCCAAGGCTACCAGACACAAAGCATTGAAGATATGGGATATAGACCGTCGTATGATACTTTCTTCACATATAACCATAAAATGCATATAAGATGATAAAAAATGCACATATCATACTTTTAAAATCTGTCCCCAAGAGAAGAGATTCTTGAAAAAAAATGTGAAACATAAACACCATAGGTTCTGGAAAGTAGGAACATTTACTTTACTGCACAATTTCCCTGCTCCAGGCACACCGTCCTTTTTATACACACACAGACACACACACAGGCACACACACGCAATTTGTGGTTGTATCTAAACAAGTTCAGCTCAAACTTATAAAGTCTACGAGAAAAAAAAAAACAACCCAGGATATCCCAGTAGGAACACAAGCCTAAAAAGATAAAATCTACAACCAAACAATTTTTCAAAATGTCCTACTGTGCAGTCGATTTCCAGTCGCTTAAATAATTCTAGGTCCACAAATGTCAATGGCTCTGCAATCTCTTTATATACATCCGGGTGTATATAAATGTGGAAAAGTCCTTATCCCATTAAGAAGATGCTTCCTCAGGTCTGCCTGGGGGCAGCCATCTGTCCCAGGCAGGCTCAAATCACCCTGTTTCTGGCATGAAATTAGACAAAGGATTTTGTTAGTTTTTAAACACCTGGGTAAAGTCTGTCATCCTAAGAACAACAACAATAATAATAGCACGAAAGAAACCAAACTTTCCTTTGGAATTCTCACTGCAAAGACCCACAAGCCTGAATTCTAAGGAGAGAAGATGCCTAATAAGAGAAATGGAACAGTATTTGAAAGGTGGGTTTTTAATATTCTATGCTGTTGACATGCACAGAACTAGCCTCTCCTCACCCACGATGAGAAGGGAGATTCATCACTCAAGCAAAAACAGATCCTAGGGCTTCCCTGGTGGCACAGCGGTTGAGAGTCCGCCCGCCCATGCAGGGAACGCGGGTTTGTGCCTTGGTCCGGGAAGATCCCACATGCCGCAGAGCGGCTGGGACGAAAGAAACCAAACTTTCCTTTGGAATTCTCACTGCAAAGACCCACAAGCCTGAATTCTAAGGAGAGAAGATGCCTAATAAGAGAAATGGAACAGTATTTGAAAGGTGGGTTTTTAATATTCTATGCTGTTGACATGCACAGAACTAGCCTCTCCTCACCCACGATGAGAAGGGAGATTCATCACTCAAGCAAAAACAGATCCTAGGGCTTCCCTGGTGGCACAGCGGTTGAGAGTCCGCCCGCCGATGCAGGGGACGCGGGTTCGTGCCCCGGTCCGGGAGGATCCCACATGCCGCGGAGCGGCTGGGCCCGTGAGCCGTGGCCGCTGAGCCTGCGCGTCCGGAGCCTGTGCTCCGCAACGGGAGAGGCCGCAGCAGTGAGAGGCCCGCGTACCGCAAAAAAAAAACCAAACCAAAACAAAACAAAAAACAGATCCTATTTCAATGTGCTTTGCTGTAGGATTATACAACCAGAAAAAACATTTTATGATGAAGAGAACTACAAGGCACAGAGAGCTGAGAGGTCCCCTGCCAGCTGTCTTTTAACATCCATCTCCACCTGCTGAAAAGCAGGAGTCCACACAAAGATGCACGATTAAGTCACACAGCTCCAGAACATAGCTCCGGAATCCTGTAACGAAGCTGAACTTGGGTCTCACCTATGGGACTAGATTTCGCTTCATGAAAGAATATCTTTTCGCATAGAATCATCACACCTAATCGCTCAGCGGAAAATACCAGCCAGTAAAATGACTGAGATAGATTCAAATATGAATGTGTCTGGCTTTTAGAAGAGCAAAGTGCAAGCTGGTTGAATAAACAGAAAAGCAAATGTGATCATGAAATGATCTCCTGACTTCCAAAGGGTCACCAAGAATGTCATCAAATACTGCCCCTGCCTTTGGCCAAAGTACATTAAAAATAATTCCACTATAAATCTAGAAAAAAAAATGATACAAATGAACTTATTTACAAAACGGAAACAGACTCACAGACACAGGAAACAAACTTATGGTTACCAAAGGGGAAAAATGGGGAGGGGATATATTAGGAGTTTGGGATGAACAGATTCACATTACTAGGTATAAAACAGATAAACAACAAGGACCTACTGTACAGCACAGGGTACTATACTCAGTATATTGCAAAAACCTACAATGGAAAACAATCTGAAAAAAATATATACATATATACAACGGAATCACTTTGCTACACCTGAAACTAACACAATATTGCAAATCAACTCTACTGCAATAAAAAATAAAAATTAAGAAAATAAAAACCAACCCCTAGATACCAGAGAGAAAAATAAAAGGCAATTAAACTAACTCAAGAACTAACTAAATAAACTAGACCTTCAAAGTCAGAGAGTCATAGACCTTCAAAGGTTCGTGGAAATAAGACTCAAAGTCATTTCTTTTCAATCTCAAATTAACTTTAGCAAATTTCCTACAAGGTGTTCTCAGATGATTCCCTTCTAACAAAAAGAGACCCAAGAGCCCTTCTGAAAATACTTGGGAAGTGTTGTGGTCTGGACCTCGGGGATTCCAGGAAGGAGCCACAAGAGCTATGCGTCTCAAATGTGTAGGCGCACCGGTCTCCTAGGAGCCGTATGTATTGGTACAGACCCTGCCCCGGCAGGTCGGTCCGGGGAGTGAGATCCTGGTGGTGAGGCTGCTGCTCTGGCCGTCGGCCCACACACACCGGCTGTTTCTTCTGCTGCCCTGGAAAGGACTCTGGCTGGTTCTGCTCCATTGCTCGTGCCCGAAGCGGGGAGAGAAGCCCCACTCGGTCTATGTAAGACCTCCTGCACATGAGGTTCTGTCAACCTCGCTAATTTTTTTTGTTTTTTGTTTTTTTTTGCGGTACGCGGGCCTCTCCCGTTGCGGAGCACAGGCTCCAGACGTGCAGGCTCAGCGGCCATGGCTCACGGGCCCAGCCGCTCCGCGGCATGTGGGATCTTCCCGGACTGGGGCACGAACCCGTGTCCCCTGCATCGGCAGGCGGACTCTCAACCACTGCGCCACCAAGGAAGCCCCCTCGCTGATTCTTTAACTACTAAAAATAAAGATACACCTTGTCGGTTACCCATTTTAAATACAGCAGTGTGTACGTATCAATCCCGAACTCCCAATGTATCCCTCCCCCCTCCCCCCGACCCTCCCCCCGTCGTAACCGTAAGTTCTTTCTCTGAGTCTATGAGTCTGTTTCTGTTTTGTAAGTAAGTTCAACCAACGAGGACCTTCTGTAGAGCACAGGGAACTGGGCACAGTACTACGTAACAACCTAAATGGGAAAAGAATTTGAAAAAGAATAGATACGTGTGTATGTTAAAAAAAAGAAAGAAAGAAACAGAATTCAACTGATAAAACTAATGAATGAAATGAGATGCCCTGATATTAAAAAAAAAAAAAAAAAAGATATACCTTCCAGATGGGGAGCCCATGCTCAGAAATTCTTGAAGACTTCCAGATCTTTCTGTGACACTGGAGGGGCCATGTTCCAGTCGTTCTCGGGATAAGCTTCGAAGTTGGAGGTGTCGCCCTCGCTGCACACTCTGGGCACGATGGGAGGCTGGGGGATCAATAAGACACAACACCATGTTACAGAGGAACAGCGCGCGCCAGGATGTTATTACGCTCAGCACACATTATTGCACTTTGCACAGACTGTGTTTTTTTACAAATGGAAGCTGTGCAGCAACCCTATCCTGAGCAAGTCTATTGGGATCCTTTTTCCAACCACACTGGCTCACTTCGTGTCTGTGTCACATTTTGACAATTCTCACAGTTCAAACTTTTCGACTATGATTATATTTGGTATGTTGATCTGTGACCAGTGTGATCTTTGATGTTACTACTGAAATTGTGTTTATTTTGTTTTGTACTTTTGAATTAAGGTACGGACACTATTTTTAGACACAGTGTGACCGTATGCTTAATAGATTACAGGATAGTACATATTGTACATAACTTAATTTTTCTTCCTCTTTTTTAAATTTTTGGCCACACCTTGGTTTGCGGGAATCTTAGCTCCCGGACCAGGGATCGAACCCTCAGCCTTGGTAGTGAAAGCACAGAGTCCTAACCACTGGACCACCAGGGAATTCCCTATACATAACTTTTATATGTGCTGCGAAACCAAAAAATTAGTGTGACTCGCTTTACTGTGGTACTCTGGAACCAAGCTTACAGTATCTCCGAGGTCTACCCAGACATTCCTCTATGTCTACAGCTTGATGTGAAAATGTTAAAAGAACTGGAAAACAACAGAGCTGCTTTTCTTTGTTTACGAACAGGAAAAGCTTGGGATTAAAGATATTGCCAGTGAGGTGTCAACTATCAGACTGATGGACGCTTACGCCGTTTGAAGAATTTAGGGAAGAAGCAAGGTACCCGGCACTTGCTTCTTAAATTCCAGAACTGAGGACCACCTGGACTGCTTGTTAAATTCAGATTCCCAGGTCGGGGACTTTCTGATGTAGCTGGTCCTGTGGCCACACTTTGGAAAATTCCAGAAAGATGGAAAGAGCTCCAGACTTGGGTTTTATTATCTCAGAAGCCAAACCACAATCCTTCATTGATAAAAATGAAGGCACTGGGATTGAGAAGAGGGGTCATTAAACTCTTCCCATAAAGGGCCAGTGAGTAAAACATTTTTGTTTTTCAGGCCATACAACTTCTGCTGTGACTACTCAGTGCTGCCATTGCAGTGGGAAAGCAGCCATCGACAATCTGTAAACAAGTGGATGTGGCTATGTGCCAATAAAACTTTATTTATAAAAACAAGCAAGGGGCCAGATTTGGCCCACAGGTTGTACTTTGCTGATTCCTGCATACATCCAGCTCCAAGATTCTGTAACACACACAGACACCAACTAGTTTTCCCTAATCCTATGAAACTGTTATGCTTTGTCCAGAGCCTTGAACACACGTGGTGAGCACCACCCCTCTCTCCCTTCCTCTGCAGGATGGATCCTAACCTGGATGTTTCACAAGACACTTGAGGCTCCGTGATGCTAGAATCCTCTAGTCAAGTCCAGGACAAGGACCTAGATTTGTCCCTGTCCCAAAGCTCCGTGCTTCCTAACAGACCACAGCAAAGCAGATGTAGCTGGAGAATCCTGACAGAGCATGGGCTCATACGTGGATCCCAGGGGGAACATTTTAACTGCTATGTGGACAGAGAAATGAGTCAAGTAAATTAAAAATTGTTCATGTTAAAAAAAGAAAGAAAGAAAGAAAGAAAACCCTCTTGTCACTTGTATATTTCGGTGAATGTATCAAAGTGCAAAGAGTATGGAGTGGGGTCAGCATCTCAGAAACATCAAGGAACTTCAGGTGAAGGTGACCCACGTTCCTTATCTGACTCAGAAGTTCCGTGCCAGAAAGCCTAATTAGTGAGGTTCACACTTTATACGCACAGCAGAGAACTCCCATCCCCAAATGGGCCAACCCACGCGTGAACAGATCTTAGGTTGGCTCCATAAAAGAGGTTAAGGATTTACAAAGGTTTTAAAAGTCACAGAGTAAGTTTAATGGTGACTTTTCCTTCATTCTTTCTCATTGCATTCAATAAATGAGCTATTTCTATAAACCAGGCACCACGTGGACAGAAGGTGCATGATTCTGGCTTTCAGAAACCTTCCAGCCCAGTCAATGGCTCCAGGGGAGTATCTCTATCTGGGTGGCATGTTTGGAATCACTTGACGAACTTTTAAAAAGCTATAAAAATGAAGTTACACAGAGATACCTCTTTTTAACCATCAGTTAGGCAAAACTGCAAAAGTTGTATAGCTCACCACTCTTGAGCTGGGGGGAAAGAGGCATTTTTCAGAACAAGTCCCCTGGGAGCACAAAAAAGGATGCCATTTCTACAGAGAAGTATGCTGCAAAAGTACCTACATTTCAAACGCATTTACCCTCTGACCCAAGGATCTCAGTTCTGGAAATTCATCTTCAACACAAAAGAAATGTATGAAATTATTCCTTTTAGGAGACTGGAATCGGCATTCAGTGTCTGTCAGTTGAGGTCTGGGTTAAGTAAACGATGGTAGAGACATGTAAAGGAGTTCCATGCAGTTTAAAAAGAATGAGAAAGCTACTCAGGCATATGGGAAGATCTCGAGGTTGTATCATTAAATGAAAAGAGCAAAATTAGAATAGTGCATGTATAACTGTAGGTTTTGTGTTTTTAAAAAAGAGAGGACTTCCCTGGTGGTCCAGTGGCTAAACATCCGCCTTCCAATGCAGAGGACATGGGTTCGAGCCCTGGTCAGGGAACTAAGATCCCAAGTGTCGCGGGGCAACTAAGCCCGCGTGCTCTAGAACCTGCGTGCCACAACTAGAGAGCCTGCGTGCCACAACTAAAGACCCGACACAGCCAAATAAATAAAAACAAATACTTTTTTTAAAAAAGGAAGAAAATAAGAATATGTGTATCCACCTGGGTTTACATTAACCTAAAGAAACTTTTAAAGGATACACAGAAGAATCTAATAAAAGTGGTTACCTATAGCCAGCTGGGAGGGACAGCCTGGCCATGTATACATATTAATATTGATTTGGTTTTTGAACAATGCGAATATATTACCTAGGCAATTTTGTAAGTCAGTGTAATAGAATAAAATACATAAAAGTTAAAACCTTAAACAAAATGAATATCAGTTCCACCCCTAGAGTCTGGGCTGGGGGCCAGGCATCAGCATTTTTTAAGTCTCTCCACTGGCGCCCAAGTGCAACGTTGAAAACATTGCTGTTGCGGATACCCGTCAATAACGTATTCAGTTCAAAGAAAGATGAGCCTCAGAATACTTTCCATCTAATCTACCACCATCACTGTGCCATATCCGTCCATAAGTATGAGACATACGTCCTACCTGTGTTATTCCCCCTTAGAAAGGGAACAGATGAGATTCATCATAGTCTCAGAGCCAGGGAGGGATGCAGCCAGTTCTCCAAAAACCCAACTGCAAAAGCTGGGGTCTGAACCCCCCATTAGCTGACTCTTTAGCTGAGCTCTCCCCTGAATAGGGAACTTGGCTTATTAACGATTTGGGATGGTTGCTTGTATCGAATCAATTCATTATGTGTCCATCCTAAGTGAGTGAGCGCTCAGGAGAGCTCCAGGCTGCCCAGGGACGCACTACCCATTTAAATATGTTGTACCTTCAGTTTCCTTTCTGGGACAGTCTCCCAGTCCATGGTCCGGAACCACCGATGCCGTTTCACATCCTCTGCTCCATTCTGCAAAAGAAACATGCATCATCAGTGAACAGAAGGTTGACAGGATAGGAAAGAAAATATTCCAAAAGAAACCCTACATGATGCCCTACAGAGAAAAACAAGAGTTTGCTATGTTTGGAGTCACTGTGCCCAGAGTGTGAGCTATTAGGGAAAACTACAGATGAAGGCATTTGAGTTTCATTTGCTTTCTTTCGCCGTAGAAAGAAATCCGGTCACGAGGCTCACGTGTATGCTGCTCTGGACCAAAGACCGAAGTAGAATTATGATTCGGCCTCTTGACATAAAATTAGACTGACACGCGCTCAGGTCTGAGTTTGACACCTGTTTTCATCTTGACAATTTCCTCAGGTGAAATTACACTCACTTTAGAAATGTATAAACTGAGATTCATTAAGTGATGTCATTTGCTCTGTACTGCCCAGCGAGTAAGCCTATAACTCAAACGGAGCATGTCAGACTTCAGAGATCTTAACAACTACCCAACGTTGCCTCTCAGTCAACAATGTGTACAGCACAGGGAACGCTACTCTATACTCCGTCATAACCTACGTGGGAAGAGAATCTAAGAGAGTGGATACGTGCATATGTGCTCACTTTGCCGTACAACTGAAACTAACACAACACTGTAAATCAACTCTACTCCAAAAAACATTTTTAAAAAACAAAACACAAAAACCCAACGTGTACTAAGGTCTGTCTAGTTCATCCTCAGCTGCGGTGTCAATAGCTGGACGGGAGCCACCACCAGTACCAGGACCTCTGAAAATCCCTTCCAAGTTCTCAGCCTTCAGCTACACCCTTCTCGTTTTTTATGACACTTGTAGCAACTTTTTAATCAATTAAATGCGTGAAGTTATAAGACAGAAACATGTGAACTCTGTGACACAGGAGCCAGTGCATCTGAAGTTAACTTTTTAAAACGTGTATCAGTTCACATTTTTTAAAGTTTTAAATGATTTATCCTCAAAAAAGAAAATTCTCTGTAACCATATCTCCAAAAGGTAGGAGATGGGGATGTCAATGTTTTCTACTTTTTTCCAGTCCTATTATTTTGAAAACTCTTTTTCTTTTCCTATTTCTTTCCATCCATATGTAAGTCGAATAATGACATCTGATGAGTGTTACCTTGACGGATGCTGAGAGAAGGTAAATAAGACTGAAGGTTTACTCCCTGAAAGTTCAAACTCAGTATGGATACTAAGGCACTATGATATCTAGGTAGATGACAGAGAGATAGATATAGATGATGGTAGAGGACACATGATGAGCTATTTAGATAGATACATTTATAGATGATAGATGAAAGTTAGGTAGATAGGTGTTCAATAAACAGACAGATGATAGACAGATATGGAAGATAACAGACAGATGATAGGTGACAGATACATAGGTAGATAGATGATAGATAAATTGATAGATAATGGAGAGATAGATGAGATATCTAGATAGATGACTGATAGATGACGGATATATAGGTAGACAGATGATGGAATATGACAGACATATAGAGAGACATAGATGAAAGACAGATAGATACAACAAATAGACAAAGAAGTGAAAGAGAAAGTAAGTGCTAGAAACTTTCCAAGTGTGGAGGACAGAGCAGTGTCCATAGAGGATGAAGGAGTTAAACACAATGGTCTGTTTGGGAAATAAAAAGAGAAACACTGCAAATGAAGGAGCGCCAGGAGAAAAACAGCCCGTTACTGGATGAACAACCATCCTGTTTCACGGATTTGTTCCTTTCACCAGTGATATCCAACCACTTAGCATTTACTCCCAACCCTTAAGGACCTCAACACATGAGCCCATCTCCATGAGTAGCCTTAACTAGCCAACCAATTTAACTAGTTATGTATTGAACTGTGCTCCCCAGGAAAGGACATGCTGAGGCCCTAATCCTCAGCACCTGTGAATGTAACTTTATTTGGAAACAAGGTTTCTGTAGATGTAAACAAGTCAAGATGAAGTCATTGGGGTGGACCCTAAATGCAATGACAGGGTCCTTACAAGAGACAGAAGAGGAGAGACACAGACACAGAGGAGAAGCCCCGGGAAGACAGAGGCAGAGACGGGAGGGACGCGGCCAGGAGCCCAGGGACGCCTGGAGCCCCCAGAAGCTGGAAGAGGCGGGAAGGAACCTCCCCTGGAGCCTCTGGAGGGAGCGCGGCCCTGGGACACCTTGACCTCAGACATCTGGTCTCCAGGATGGGGGAGGATGGATTCCTGTGGTTTTAAGCTCACGGTTTGTGGTCCTTTGTTACAGCCGCCCCAGGAAATGAACACACCCACATAAACAGAGGGCCCCAAGAGACCTGCGGGGTTCAAGTCTCACACACAGGTCTACTCTGTCCTTCAAGACTGCAACTGACAGGGTCAGTGCACTGGTCCACATCTAAGTTTACCCACAGACATCCAGAGCGAGAAACAGCTAAGAAGATGTCCCTGGTTTGTCTCAAATTCAGCAGTGCCGAAACGGAACCAAGACAGGCATATACAATATCATAGTTTATACAAGTCAGTTCCTCACATGTATTTCCCTCCAGATGAAAAGTTTGAGAAAATCACACATGGCGTACAGCTTCTAAAATGACGATGAATTCACACACAAACCTGCACATGCATGTTTACAGCAGCACTATTCATAACAGCCAAAAAGTGGAAACAGCCCAAGTGTCCATGGATGGATGGATGGATAAACAGCACGGGGTCCATCCATACAGTAGAATATGACTCAGCCATGAAAAGGAGTGAAGCTCTGACGCAGGCTACAACGTGGACGGACCCTGAACACATAATGCTCAGTGAGAGAAGCCAGACACAAAAGGTCATGTTTTGTATGATTCCATTTCCATGAAAGGACAATCTATAGAGACAGAAAGCAGCCTAGTGGTTGCCTACCACCAGGAGGGATAGAAGGATAGAGAGGTGATAGCTACAGGATACAGGATATGGGTTTCTTCTGGAAGGGATGAGCATGTTCTTTCAAACTGTGGTGACGGTTGCACAATTTTGCAAATACATTACAAGCCATCGGACTGTCCACTTTAAACGGGTAAACTGGATGTTATGTGAATTATACCTCAACAACGTTGTTTAAAAATATAAAAGTATATAAAGTCATGATTCGTAACCTATAGATCACTGTTGAGTCACTGGCTCCTTTGGAGAGACAAGGAGGTGGGGTGTAGACCCAGTTTGATTCTGCATGCCCCAGAAATCCGGATTTGGAATTTGACCGATGACTGAATATGAATGTTCTGCCTTTGGTGAAGCGTGTGAAGTCAAATGACAGGCACTTATAACGGACACCACTTAACACACACGGACGGAGACACTCACCTTCATGTTCCCCAATCTCCTTGTTCTGTCGACAACAAGCAATCTCTTAATGAGGTCTCTGTTTGGGAGACGGAGACAGAAACACAGACGTGTTGATACGGACCCATGCAAACACAGCAGGTCAACAGCAGTAAAATCCACACCGTACAACGTGGACACTGGCGCAGCGGTTCACACTGGCTGAACGCTTTCTAACGCTTCTTTCCAACCATTATCTGTTCCTAAATAATTTCTGCGGCGCAGAGTTGCGAGAGGGACCTAGCTAAGGGGAAGAGGTTGATTAAATCATCGTAGAGAAGAATAGCCCCGGAGCAAGAGAAAATGCGCCTGCCCTGGGGATGGTGTGGCTTCCTTTCAGACATACGCTTACCAAAATCGATGGTCTCGCTTTGCCCTGTGGGTCTGCTTATTTGTGGGATTCTTGTCTGGCCATCCTTGCCTTCCCGTAAGCACGTAAACTTACTGGATCCCTTTCGTGTGTGCTGGTTCACTGAGATCCTCCCTCTAAATAAACAGCAGACGGGGGACTTCCCTGGTGGTCCAGTGGTAAAGAATCCACCTTCCAGTGCAGGGGACACGGGTTTGATCCCTGGTCAGGGAACTAAGATCCCACATGCCATGGGGCAACCAAGCCTGCGTGCCACAGCTACTGAGCTCACACGCCTCAACTAGAGAGCCTACGCCCTTTGGAACCTGTGCGCTACAACTACAGAGCCCACGCGCCGTGGAGCCTGCACGCCACAACTAGAGAAGAGAAAATCCGCACGCCACGAGGGAGAAGCCTGCACACTGCAACGAAGAGCCCGCGCACTGCAATAAAAGATCCCGCGTGACGTAACTAAGACCCGACCCAGCCAAAAATAAATAAATAAATAAATAATCTTGTTTAAAAATAAATAAATAAATAGCAGGCAGTATCAGAATACGGCAGGACGGTCAATTATGATGGGAAACTGGAGATGGTTTTCAAGACTTCCAGCAGATGGGCTAGCTCTCAGAGTAACAGTTAAGGAAGCAAAAAGTATAATGTATCTTAATGTAAGTATCTAATACGCTGAGTATGTTGTATATAATAATATCCAGGGATTTCAAGCATATAAGGATGTTTTCCAGGACAATCAAAAACCCCCGACTCAGCTTTAAGCATCTCAGCTTTCCTGAATCCAATGATGCCCCGGGGTGATCAGCACAAAACCAGGCTCCAGCTATGCCCTGCGCGCTGTGTGACCAGCTAAGGAGGCTCAGATGCGTCAGGTGATAAATGAGGGACCAGGGACCCAGGGTTCCTCACATCTGCACTGTGAAATCTCCCAGGTTCCTACTGATGTCAAAGTCTGTTAAGGCATAACTGTAACACAGAGTTTCCCAACACTCTGTATCCTTAAGTAGAACTGGAGTCCTTCTAGACGTTTTCCCAAATCCATCTCAAAGAGAAAACCCAAGAACACTGGCTCACCTAAGGCTATGATTTTGATGTGTCCATCGAAAACAGAGGAAATTTACTCTTGTGCAAGGCAGAGGGATACAAGAGCACTGAGAAATTAAGGTACCTTTCCCATACTTAGTGAGTCTCCCCTTCATTATTTTGACATACCAAAGAAACAAACTAAAAAAAACAAGGTCACCAAACACCACACTCCCAAAACATCCCCAAATCCATGTGTTTTTTCTCCTTTTTCCCTATTATTTACAGCACCCTCAGCCCTATGAGTGCATATCCTTAAAGCTGCCTGTCCCAGGATTACAAAAAAAATCAAAGATTTATTTAATATATAAAATTAGATCTTTGTGAAACAGCTCGATCCTGAAAGCAAAAGGTGCAAAGGAAAAGGGGCCACCCGATATGGCAAAGCCACGTAGGAACTCTGCAAGCATCCAAGACGTGACAGGTGGGCACCTCCATCCTGGAATGGCTGTGAGTCCACTGGCAAGCCCTTGATTCACCGAGGCTGAAATTCTGAATCCTACTGACTCCCCGGGTGCCAGCTGGCTTCTCCTCGACCACTTTCAGACACAGAGAAACACTCGTAAATAAATATGAGTTCTACCAAGTTGGCACCAAGCCCCAAAGCTTTTATTTCCTTTTCAATTATATATATTCCTGCAAGGAAATCTGAAGCCAGAGAGACATCTGTCCAGGCCAACACGCTGACACGGTCCAATGCTGAGGTTGTAGGAAGCCACAAAGGACCTGAAAAACTTCAGTCAAAATTCTACCCTCAGGGCCACCTGCTGACAGTCATTTGGGTAAGAAATCACTCCTTTGGGCTCTGCTTCGAAGCCAGCTCATGAAGATCTAGGCAAAAATGTGAAGAATTCAAACTTTACTCAACTACAATCTGCCATCATCAAGGGCAGCAAAGGGTCCCAGGTTTCTGCCCCTGCTGAGCCCCCTCACTGGGGATGTGAGAGGAAGTGCCTGGAGCTGTGCACGTGAGCCCTAACCCTAACCCTAACCCTAACCCTAACCCTAAGCAAGGAGTCCAGAACAGACTCTGCCGCTTCTCTCTTGAAAGTAAACTATGAAAAAAAGACGGGGAGTTGGCAGGAGACCAGACGGAGATTATGCTTAGGTTTGTTCTTTCTATAACATCTTCTTGTTCACAAAACGTTGGAAACGTACTCTATATAAGAACGTGAGTGTAAAAAAGAATGAAACTGTGCCATTTGCAGTAACGTGGATGGACCCAGAGGTGATCATACTAAGTGAAATGAGTCAGACAGAGAAAGACAAATATCATATGATGTCACTTGTATGTGGCATCTAAAAAATGATACAGGGACTTCCCTTCCAGTGGTCAGGGCTCTGCACTTCCAATGCAGGGGGCGTGGGTTCAATCCCTGGTTGGGGAACTAAGATCCTACATGCTGTGCTCATGGCCAGGAAAAAAAAAAAAAAAAAAAGATACAAGTGAACTTATCTATGAAACAGAAACAGACTCATAGACATAGAAAACAGACTTATTGGGAAAGGGGGTGGGGGGAGACAAATTAGGGGTTTGGGATTAGCAGATACACACTACTGTATATAAAACAGATAAACAACAAGGACCTACTATATAGCATAGGGAATTATATTCAATACCTTGTAATAACCTATCATGGACAAGAATCTGAAAAAGAATTTATATGTATATACATACATGTGTATATGTATAACCAAATCACTTTGCTGTACACCTGAAACTAACACAATATTGTGAATCAACTATGGCTTCAATAAAACAAAATGGATAAAAAAAAAATTGTGATAAAATAGAAATAAAATTTACTATTTTAACCATTAAAAATACATAAATTAACATAAGCAAGTAAATGACCTAAGATTTATGGATCTTCCCTTCTCTTGGGGAAACATCTCCTGGAAGAATTTAAGTCCTTCCTTGAAAGAGGAAGGGGATCCAGTCTGATGATCTGTGTTGCCTAAGACCATCACGAGTTTACAAAAGAAGCAGAGGCTATGAGGGCACAGGAGGTAAGTGCATATTTATCTTGCTTGGAGCACGTGCACCCATGACAACAGTGAAATCATACCCATCGCGGGCAGGTCCCGCCAACATGCAGCGGCTGTTTCCAAGCCCCAGGTGTACCCAGGAGAATTCCAGGGGGTCTACAGGGGCCATCAACTAGCAGTGCCCATGGGTGTGAGTAGGCGCTAATCTGATCAAATCATTGGTCAATCGTTGATACATTTATAACTCAACTTTATTTTTTTTTCTCTTTATTTTGTCTTAATACCTTCCCCCTATCCTTGCTCATCCCTCCCCACCCCTCCCCTATGACTCAATTTTTAAAGCGTTTTGCCATCCATTCGAAACAATGTCACTCAACACTGATGGGATTTGGAGCCTGGGAGAGAAATCCTAGACCATATTTCTTCATTTCTTTCTAGAGCAATAGAATTTTGAGTGCTGTATGTATTCCCCTTGTCACCTTACTGTCGGACCATTCATGACACAGAAGTCTCCCTTCCGGATAATTTATGTCTAACTGGAGCCTCCTTTTCTTGCTAAAATCTTTTAAAACCTAGCTGGTGGGTCAAACACGACACAAGCTCCAGCCTACACGAACCAAGAAGAACACCATCCTTGATTCATACTGAGAACCTCTATTAAAGGTGAAACAAAACTAGGTGCCGCCAGTGGGCCCCAGGATCACAGCTGATCACTGTCATGAAATAAGTTTTCCCTGAACTTAATTTCCACAGGTTACTTTAAAAATATGTAGCAAAAAAAGAGAGAAAAGTTTAGTTCTCAACTAAACACAATTAACCCCGTTTGGGGATCAGAAGAGGTTTGAAGCACCTATCAATGTATCTGGGAAATACAGTAAAACAGCTAGAAATTAGGACTCACAATGGTGCAAATGGCAAAAAGCTGACACACAGAGCAAGGTCGTTGGAAAAATCGATGGGAAACATAAAGCGTTCTTATCTTTTAAAAATTTAGCTTTTCCCCCCATTGCCACAAAAGTGCACACCCCAAGTTTAACACTGAAGCAATGCAAAAGTTCTTGAAACAACGAGGGCGTAACTCAAAATTCTAGCAGGAGAAAGGACTTTAAGAATGAAAATAATTTAAGCAGGAGAGAAAAGATAAACTCTGCTAAAGCCATCAACACTTGTGCCAACCGCAACACTTATCTGGGAGGAAGGACACCCTTCTTGTCAAATAACAAAACGGCTCTTATTAAATAGGATAACAAACGCCTTTATTCGCTAATTGTAAGCGTCATTTATTTTAAACGGTATAAAATAGGGCTGAGAGTCGTTAAAAGGTGAAGTCTCACCCCAGCAGTCATGAAAACCTTTTCGCTTTTCGTGGAAAAAATGACTGGTCAAAACAGCTTCAGCCCAGCATAGAGAATAACACAGGATGGTACCCCGCTCGGCAGATGCCATAACAGGGGTTTCTTAGATGCTTTAAAAATAAACACACCCGATGAGGAGGGAACGGTTTACTTACTTGACACTGAAGTCCAAATGCCTGGGGAAATCGATCTTGCCTGCAAGAATTTTTTGGTAAATGCCAAATGCGTTGTCATCAAAAAACGGAGGAAACCTGTTAGAAACATAAACATCTATTTTTAGTGCCGAGCAAGTGTGGAAAACATCCCTGCTTTGTAAGGATGACTCTTTCTGCCTGACCTGGACAGAACAGAATTTATTTCACGGCAGCTCTTTCCTCGCATCCTGGAGTCCATGGATGGCTCGAGACTGGCTTCGAAGACATGGTTCCAAGACGCCAAGCGTTAAGCACTGCAGCCCAAGTACAGAGGATGGGCCAGCAGAGGAAAGGCAATGGCCATGAGGCCACCTGACCAACTATGAGGTCACTAGGGTGCCATTAGAAATGTCTCCCCGGGCCTCCCTGGTGGCGCAGTGGTTGAGAGTCCGCCTGCCGATGCCGGGGACGCGGGTTCGTGCCCCGGTCCAGGAAGATCCCACATGCCGTGGAGTGGCTGGGCCCGTGAGCCATGGCCGCTGAGCCTGTGCGTCCGGAGCCTGTGCTCCGCAACGGGAGAGGCCACGGCAGTGAGACGCCCGCGTACCGCAAAAAAAAAAAAACCAAAAAAAAATGTCTCCCCAACTTGACCATGAGTGGACCTCTTTGTATCCTTCCTGCATACGGGAGTGTATAGCACACAGTAGGTGCTCAATAAGTGTACATGGGCCAAATGTAAGAGGATAGGTTACACTGTATCATATTTCTTTGGCTCAAGTACCTCATAACTTTATAGAAGCCAATATGTAAATCTCCACAGTCGATGAATTCACCTCCATCCTACTTTGGGAGGTGAGTGACAGCAAGGCTGGTTTCCAGTTTGCGATTTTAGGCACAAAGATCTACACTAGGGCCCAGTTTGCGATTTTAGGCACAAAGATCTACACTAGGGGCTGGCCAATGATGGCCCACAGCCTCTTTTTGTCAATAAAGTTGTACTGGCACACGGCCAATCCATACACTTATGTATCATCTGCAGCAGTGTTACCACAATTAAAGACTATAGGCTAGTTATAGAAACTAACAGACCTATCCTTTCTAACATCTGGAAATAGAAAAACAAAAAAATGTGACACAAGCTAAAGAAGAAATATACTTACAACTGTGAGGATCACGAAAAATCCAAGAAACTCTAGAAGTAAACCACTAAATGTATACCAGATATCCACATGTCCCTGGGCACAAGGTATACTTGTGATAGCTCCTCAAAGTGCTCAAGGCAAAGACCTTCAACTCGAAAGCATAACCTCTATTTAGTCTCTTTAGAAGGAGGTCTTCTAATTCAGTAGGATAAGCAATGGAAATATAAAGGGGAGTATTCAAACGATGGTCTGATTGATGGCAAATCTCAAGGATCAAAAATAATTCTCGTGTTGATTCCAAATCAACTCCTCACGTTTTTTAAAAGAGAAACAGTGTATCACGGGTGGGATGGTGGCCTCCAAAGTTACACCCATGTCCTCACCCTGACTGCCTAAATGGGACCTTATACGGAAACAGAGTTTTTGCAGATGTGATGAAGTGAAGGGTCTGAGATGAGGTCCTCATGGAGAAAATGTGTCATACATACCTACCTACCCACGTGCGTGGAGAATGTGGCACGCAGTACTCTGGGGGAGCTGGCGTTACACGACACTATCATGGGAAAGGCATGTTAGCAGTAGTTTAGCGAGCGGAAAAAACAATAATAAGGGAGAGAGCACTAACACATCTTGCCTGAAGGAAAAAGCACGGAGAAGGCGTATCGGAGAACTCGGCGTGTGGAAAGCGGCCAAAGGAAGTGCCCTCAAATCTCTGCCTTTAATCCAACAGAATCCTTCCAATTCTTAATAAACGGGTGCTCATCATACAGAAGTGGGCGTTACGTGCACCTTGCGTTGTCCATGGTGAGATGTAGTCAGAAGGACAACCTGCCCATCCCCAGGAAGGCAGGCTCGAGACTTTCGTCTGAAAAATTCATGCCGATTTTGCCATTGTCTCCCTCATCCATCTGGATTCTTTTTATAGATACCGTCGACCTACCTAAATCTTCCAGTAAAAAAAATAGATTGTCCAGAAACAGGCGCCATCGTTGTGACCTTGCGTTCTTCATCAGACCCCCAGAGACCTGTTACAAAATGATGGTCCTGGGACATCCCCAGTGGTCCAGTGCTTAAGACTCCACGCTTTGGACTTCCCTGGTGGCGCAGTGGTTAAGAATCCACCTGCCAATGTAGGGGACACAGGTTCGAGCCCTGCTCCGGGAAGATCCCTCATGCCGTGGAGCCACTAAGCCCATGAGCCACAACTACTGAGCCTGCGAGTCACAACTACTGAGCCTGTGTGCCTAGAGCCCGTGGTCCCAACAAGAGAAGCCACCGCAATGAGAAGCCCACGCACCGCAACCAAGAGTAGCCCCCGCTCGCCGCAACTAGAGAAAGCCCGCGCACAGCAACGAAGACCCAACGCAGCCACAAATAAATAAACAAATACATAAATTTATCTATTAAAAAAAAAAAAGAAAAAAAATGACTCCGTGCTTTCACTGCAGGGGGCACGGGGGGTTTGATCCCTGGTCCGGGAAGTTCCGCATGCCACAGGATGTGGCCAAAAAACAAAACCAAAATGATGGTCCCAAACTAGCAGCCCATTTTAACAGGGCAAGTACCTTGGAGGGCAGGTACTTTGGAAATGGCTCCAAGGAAAACAAGAGTTTTCGGAGAGAGAAGAGATGGGCTGCTATAGTATCGCCCTATTTTGACTTCTCCCTCCAAGGCGCTCGGCCTCATACATTCCTATAAAACAAGTATCTGAGATCCTCAGAAAGAGGGGCAAGAACAAAGTGCTGGGCCAGCAAACACTCGGGCAGACTGTAGTGTGAGAGGGAGTCCCGGGGCACCCTTATCTCTGGCATGGCAGCTGTGATTCTCAAAGTGGGGTCCCAGGGAGCCCTCCGGTTCCTCGAGGCCTTTTCAGGAAATCTGTGACACCCTTTTTCTGACTATAAATCTGAATATGGCTGCATTTCCGTCAAATACCTCAACCAAAACAACAAATCACACCAGACAGAGTGTGAGAGAAGGGAAGAACGCAGTGGCCCGCAATTAAGCTGGACATAAAAGAGACTAATGAACATGTGAAACAACGTCACTGTTTTCTCTAACTATTTTTAATACTAGGAAAGAGTTATTTTTTTCATTAAAAATTTGATTTATGTTAACCATTAGTTTATCACCTTATGCTTTTATGTATAAACTTATATACTTATATATATAATCTCAGTTTAATTTTAAAATGTGGTAAACGTTGACAGATATAACCTGCATCCATGAGAGCTCTTTGGGGTTGATACTAACATTTAGGGGCGTTTTCCTAACTTTTAGAAAGGGAGTAACTTTTAGGACAGATGGTTACTGAAAACTTTTAGGGTCCTGTGGCTGAAATGTTTTGAGAACCACTGCACCACAGCTAATGTTCTACATGGATGCAGCTCCAAATGCAGACTAATTCCATCTTCCTGAAAAAGAGGCCTGCGACTGAAACTCTCCACATGGGTGGATATGAAAGGAGCAGATGACGGAAGACATCAGGGCTGAGTTGCGCGCTCCTGGGAAAGCCCATGAGTGGGCCACCTATTTTCAGTCCAACCGAAACATTTCTTACTCGATGAAAATAAAATCCCAGTTATGACGTGCTCTCATACCTAATCATGTGGCTGGTTGTACCCAACAAATGTACTTCTTGTACGTCATGAAACATTTCACCCACCAATGAAAGCAATAAGCAAACAGACAAGGCAGAGTCTAGCCTGATCTTGCTAAAGGTGCCAAAACAGAAAATGGAAATCCAACAAGCACGCGGGAGACAGGGACTTGGAAGAAAAGGCCACCTCCACCATCTATATAAGAACTCCCTCCCAGTGGCCACCAAAGGCGTCTGGGTTCAAGGGGGTGAGAAGAGCAGCTTGCACCATCCAGTGATCTCATGGGCAATGAACACATGGAACCAGATGGTTTCAGATCCACTGAGCGCTCCAGAGAGAACAGAAAGGGGTGCTAGGGCAGAGCGTGGCTGGGAGCAGCGGAGGAAGGATCTGAGGGCAGGTTACAGGTGAGCCTGAATCGTGAGGACCGGAAGAGAAGGGACCGGCTGGGGGGGATGCCCTCAGGCGGCTGGCAGAGAGAGAGACAATGCCGCATGGGGTGCTGGAGGCACAGCAGGAAGGCCCGCGATCCCAGGAGAGGGGCCAGGCCTCCGTCTAAGGTGGGCAGATCTTGTACAGACCGACTCAGAGCCTCGTATAACGAGGAGCTCCGGGTCTGTCCCCTGGAGGGCTGCTAGGGAAAAGGACGTGGCCTGGCGGGTGTCGGTGAGGGACCCCTCCGGTGGCTGCCAGGGGAAAGTGCCACGGGCAGGGGCAGGGGCAGCTGGAGGAGACGTGAGGACGCTCGGGGCTGGTCCAGGCGAGAGCAGAGGCTGGCCAGACTTCAGGGACAGTCCCGGGTCGGCCAGGCGTGCAGTGTGGGCAAAAGGACGGGTGTCTCTGAAAATACCACCCAGACAAGCCTGACCCTAACTGGAAAAAAATGTGGAAAAAAAAGATGCTGACTGGGCACAAACAGTTCCCTTTTATGAAATGCAAAGTTCAGCTTATGGTGTTCTGGGTTAGGAGAGGGTTTTACTTATTAATCTCCAATTATTTTAATAACAGGACCTAGTAAGAGATTCTAATTACATTATTTTCTACTGAATTCCTAATATTCTCTGAGAATACTAGGACTACTGCATGGCTAACATTCTACTGGAATAGAATATTTTCTATTTTCTAATATTCTAATATTTTAATATACTACATCCCAATAGTAATTAGCATATTATTTTAATATATTATATCCTAACAGTATCTTAGTTACTATTAAAATAGCATATTAAATTATTAGAATTCTAATAACTATGTTTATATAATAACCCTCATAATAATTCTAGTGTATCCTAATATTATATTCTAATTCTACCCTATCCTACTTTATTCTACTCTATTTTAATAATTTTCTATTATAGTCTATCAATACTGTGTTCTAACAGTATATTATATTCCAACCTTGCCTCTCCTAATGATATTCCGCATTACTATATTCTGTACTATTACAGGCCAACCTAACAATAAAGACAAAACAGAGGACACATGGACCCCATTCTGCTCAACATGACTGGGCGCCGGGATTCAATTCTCCTCAGGCAAGGCTGCCCTCTTGTGGTCAGCAATGTACAGGAAGGAAGGTATGCTGCTGGCTTGAGTGTGGAAGCTGATCAAGTACAGGTGCAGAAAGATGTACAATTTCTATACCTTCTTGGTGGATTGACCGTACATGCCATTTATTTCAGCGTTCTGCTTTGATTAGGACTTCCTGGGCTAGGGTGCATATGAAGGAATTTGGGTCTATGTGATTTGCTAGAGGTGTTTGACTAAAGAGCAATGGAAAATTGAAAAGATTAGATAGATTGATAGATATTGATCTGTGATTGATAGATGTTGATCTGTGATTGATAGATATTGATCTGTGACTGATGTTGATCTGTGATTGATATTGATCTGTGAGTGATAGATATTGATCTGTGATTGATAGATGTTGATCTATGATTGATAGATATTGATCTGTGATTGACAGATGTTGATCTATGATTGATATTGATCTGTGATTGATAGATGTTGATCTGTGATTGATATTGATCTGTGATTGACAGATGTTGATCTGTGATTGACAGATGTTGATCTGTGATTGATATTGATCTGTGAGTGATAGATATTGATCTGTGATTGATAGATGTTGATCTATGATTGATAGATATTGATCTGTGATTGATAGATGTTGATCTATGATTGATATTGATCTGTGATTGATAGATGTTATCTATGATTGATATTGATCTGTGTGATAGATATTGATCTGTGATTGATAGATGTTGATCTGTGATTGACAGATATTGATCTGTGAGTGATATTGATCTGTGATTGATAGATGTTGATCTGTGATTGATAGATATTGATCTGTGATTGATAGATGTTGATCTGTGACTGACAGATGTTGATCTGTGATTGATATTGATCTGAGTGATAGATATTGATCTGTGATAGATGTTGATCTATGATTGATAGATATTGATCTGTGATTGATAGATGTTGATCTATGATTGATATTGATCTGTGATTGATAGATGTTGATCTATGATTGATATTGATCTGTGATTGATAGATGTTGATCTGTGATTGATAAGATATTGATCTGTGAGTGATATTGATCTGTGATTGACAGATATTGATCTGTGATTGATAGATGTTGATCTATGATTGATATTGATCTGTGATTGACAGATGTTGATCTGTGATTGATAAGATATTGATCTGTGAGTGATATTGATCTGTGATTGACAGATATTGATCTGTGATTGATAGATGTTGATCTGTGATTGATAGATGTTGATCTGTGATTGACAGAAAGGCAGATACCTAAAAATTAATATACAGTTAGAGATAGATATAAATAGATGATAGGTAGATATAAATAAGTATATAGAGAGCTAGAGATCGATTCAGGTAGATGATACAGTAGATAGATGACAGATGATAGATACACAGAATAGATGACATATAGATGATAGACAGCAGATATACAGTTAGAGATAAAATAGGTACAGATAGTAAGACAGACAAATAGGTAGATAGATGATGGATATACATGATAAACTAGATGATAGGTAAATATGATGATAAACAGGTGACAAGAGCGGGCAGATAGGTGTATTATATAAATAGATGCCAGAGCTGACAACAGATACAATAGAGAAGATATACAAAGACGACAGAGAGATACAGATGATAGATAAACAGATGATCACTAGATATAAACGGCAGATAGATCATAGACAGACGATGAAGAGACGGACAACTGATAGATGAATACGGACAGGTTTGCAGAGATTCCCCCCTGGCTGCTCACACACTCAATGCAGGAGAAGGCCTCTTTCCATCTTTCTTTCCAACTGAAAGCTGTGGACCAGCCCTGCAGGGAATCACACAGGCATGGAACAGGCTCTGGGTTTTATTAAAACCAGAGTAAACTCAGTGTCTGCAAAACTTACCAGCAAAAATCACAGCCGCCAAAGAAGGCAGGACAAGGGGAAGAGGCGGGAGTGTGGACGGAAGGCTGCACATCGGACAGAAGAGCCTCGCGTTCACAGGACGAGGAAGAATGCCCAGGTCCACAGTTTCTACGAGGGGGATGCCTGCTTTGTGTGTCCATCCTGCACGTCTCACGCAGAAGCCACGCGCTTCAGTATTTAATCATGCCGACCCCTTGAGAAACAGTCCGACTCTCGGCTATCTGGACCAGGGGCAACGTGACTCCTAACCTCCCCCGAGGCACGTTTGGGATTTCAGGGAAGAACACCCTCTTTCCGTTCTGGCACACTCTCCGTTCATAACGTCCTCAATTGCGTGATCCAACACGTACGTTACCCAGCTCTGGGAATCACTCCAGAGCGTCCGTGCGGGAGATGAACAGCATTTTCTTGGGAGACAGGGACACTTAGAGACAGGACAGAAGACCTTGACAGCTGTGCCCTGCTGGTCCTTCAAGCCTGCGCTTTTGCTCTTTGGAAATCAAGCCGAACGGTCAGTTCATATCACCATCACCAGCAGCGGGAAACTGCCGTGCGACCCGACCCCGACAATCTGCCCCCGACCCCCAATGCCCCATCCTAGGGGCGGGCTGAGCACCCCAGGGCCAGCGAGTGGGGCAGGGACTCGCTGCAGACTTCTCCACGGAAACCCGACTCACCCCGAGAGCATCTCGAATATCAGGATGCCGAGCGCCCACCAGTCCACGGCTCTCCCGTGGCCCTTGCTCTGGATGACTTCGGGGGCCAGGTACTCGGGGGTCCCGCAAAGGGTCCACGTCCTGTGGGCAGAGAAGGGGGGTCCACAAAACTCAGCTGTGCTTGCCCAGTGCGTGCATCTCAGAAGCACTGAAGGTCAGTCACTGAATTGATCCACAAGATACCTTAAACCCTCGCCCGGTAGATAAAGACAGTAACCTCGTCTTCCCTGACTTTTGTCCTTTATAAACACTCTGGAACCAAAAAAGAATCTGAGTAACGGCCCTGTTATCACGGCTGTGTCTTCTTCTTGGTGCTAACCTTTGCTGCTCAGAAGCAAAACCCCCAGTCCCTGTTTTCGCATAAAATGATGGGAAAAAGGATTCAAGGACTGACTCAAGGGAACGACCCTCAGGAACCCACACGTCTGCTTTATGAATAAATGAGCTGGTTCTGTCCCCCCAGAGGAAACACAAAGCGACAGCTAAGTGTCTTTTCCACCTGCTCTGCAAAAGGTCTGAAGTGTTTTTGTGGGTTCGCGGTCATTTTAGTATCCGTGGTGGCTTTTGGAAATCCTCAGGTAAAGGGGTTCTGGGACGTTTGGGGTTTAAACGGGGCGGACAGCTTTGGAAAGGATTTTCTCCCCAGGAGTTGAGACTTGCAAAAAATTTAGCTTTTAGCCCCACCTAGAGGACAGCTGGCTGAAAGCAAGAGATTCCAACCAGCCAAGCCGGACCCAGTGCAGAAAGCGGAGGTTTCTGATTGCCTGGGTGGTTGTTTTTTATTTGGGTCATCCCTTCCCTGTGCTGCCTTAGATCTGTCTTTTTCACAACAGATGCGAGAAGCAATCTTCTGCTTTTAAGAGAATTCTGTTTATACTTTAAAAAGCCCCAATGTTTAATTAAAACTTATAATTTGTAACATTTCTGCTGAAATATCTAAATTCTTATGCCCTATGGAAAATAAAGACTGACTTTCCTATTTTTCTCTTTATTTGTATATCTCAGTATGGAAGATTTTGCTAACAAAAATTCACCCATGAAAAGATAAAAACGGTACAAACTTCCAGTTGAAAGATTAAGTCCTGGGGTTGTAACATATGGCGTGATGACTATATAGTTAATAAAACTGTACTGTACATTTGAAAGTTGCTAAGAGAATAGACGTTAAAAGTTCTCATCAAGAGTAAAAAATTGTAGGGCTTCCCTGGTGGCGCAGTGGTTGAGATGCAGGGGACACAGGTTGGTGCCCCGGTCCGGGAAGATCCCACATGCCGCAGAGCGGCGGGGCCCGTGAGCCATGGCCGCTGAGCCTGCGCGTCCGGAGCCTGTGCTCCGCAACGGGAGAGGCCACAGCAGTGAGAGGCCCGCGTGCCGCAAAAAAACAAAACAAAACAAAACAAAACCCTGTGTCCAAAGCATAGGAAAATAACACACTAAGGTCATGTTCACGTTTTATATGACAGATCAGTGATGGTGATTAACACCTAAAAGGGCAACCACGGAATTCCCTGGCGGCCCAGGGGTTCTTTGCCTTCCAATGCAGGGGGTGCAGGTTCCATCCCTGGTCGGGGAGCTAAGATCCAACATGCCTGGTGGCCAAAAACACCAAAACATAAAACAGAAGCAATACTGTAACAAATTCAATGAAGACTTCAAAAACGGTCCACATCAAAAAAATCTTAAAAAAAATGCTGCTGTGACACATGAGCTATAAGCTCCATCGGTACGTTTAGCAAATGTCTGAATGGTGACTCTCTTCCCCAAAGTGCAACTGAGACACAGCTAGGCTGTTAAACCACTAAGAAGATCTGGAAATCGCCTGGTTCCAGCCCACGTTCTTACATTGGGTAAAAGTCCAAGGCAATCAATGTCATCTGCCTGTTTTGTGCTTTTGGTGTGTGCTTGTCATCATGATATACACTAAATCCCCAGAACATATTTATCATATAACTGGAAGTTTGTACCTTCACCCATTTCCCCTTCCTCTTATCCCCTGCCCCTGGCAACCACCATTCTACCCTCTGGTTCTATGAGTTCAGCTGTTTTCTTAAAAAATTAAAGTATAGTTGATTCACAACGTTGTGTTAGTTTCAGGTGTACAGCAAAGTGATTCAATTAAACATATTTTTTTTCAGATTCTTTTCCGTTATGGCTTATCATAGGATTATCTATTTTATATATAGTAGTGTGTATCTGTTAATCCCCAACTCCTAATTTATCCTTCCCCCGCCCTTTCCCCTTTGGTAATCATAAGCTTGTTTTCTAAGTCTGTGAGTCTGTTTCTGTTTGTAAATAAGATCATTTGTATTACTTATTTAGATTCCACATATAAGTGATATCATATGATATCTGTCTTTCTCTGATTTACTTTGCTTAGTATGATAATCTCTAGGTCCACCCATGTTGCCGCAAATGGCATTTTTCATTCTTTTTCATGGCTGAGTAGTATTCCATTGTATATATGTACCACATCTTCTTTATCCATTCATCTGTCAGTGGACACTTAGGTTGCTTCCATGTCTTGGCTATTGTAAACAGTGCTGCTATTAACACAGGGGCGCATGTATCTTCTCAAATTAGAGTTTTCGCCTTTTCTGGATATATGCCCAGCAGTGGGATCTCGAACTCAGCTTTTTCAGATTTCACACGTAAGTGAGATGCTACAGTATGCGCCCTTCTGTGACTGACTTATCTCACTCTAATGCCCCCAAGGTCCAACCATGTTGTTCCAAATGGCAAGATTTCCTTATTTTTTTATGGCTGAAAAATATTCCATTTTATACACATCTCCTAGCTTCTTTATCTACAAGCCAAGAAACACGTGAGGCTACCAAAAGCTAGGAGAGGGGCACAGAACAGATGGTTTTCTAGAGCCTTTACAAGGAACATTGCCCTGGCAACACCTTGATTTCCTACGCTGGCCCCCAGAACTGTGAGGCTGTAACGTTCTGTTGGGTTAAGCTCCTTAGTTTGTGGTACTTTGTTATGGCGGTCCCAGAAGCCAAACACCCACCCCATGTGGGCCATATCACATCAGCCCTCCCCCAGTTCACCTCTGCTTCTAAAGCACCTGGGGTTTTCACACTCCACACCGGGTATTTTAACTTGTGCTATGTGACGGGCTACAAGCTAAATGATGGCCATGGAAACAAAACATTTGGAAACACAGCTTTGGAGGTCCAGAAAATTGTCGTAATGATGTCCATGTTTATCTCTTTAAACAGGCTGACCACCCAGTTGCCCCCTCAGGCTTGGAGAGATGACATCATGTCACACAGACAAGCAGCTACAGCTCAGAAAGGGGATGCGACGGGGTTTCTGTGAGGAAGAACTTCAGGTTCTCCTTGTGACTCTGCCCTGGGATCGGCAAGAGGAAAGAGTCGAAAGTGCAGAGGCGACCACTTCAGCCCATGCAGATGGCTACCATCTAAAAACAGAAAACAAGTGCCGACGGGATGTTGAGAGAAGGGAACCCTCCTGCACTGTAGGTGGGAATGTAAAATGGTGCAGCTACTATGGAGAACAGGATGGAGGGTCCTCACAAAACTAAAAATAGAATCACCGTTACGATCCAGCAATCCCACTCCTGGGCATATACCCAGGAGACGACATGAAAGCAAGGTCTTGAAGAGATATTTGTACATGTGTGTTCATTACAGCACTGTTCACAACAGCCAAAAGGGAGAAACAACCCAAGTGTCCCTCATGGATGAATTAACAAAAAGTAATATATCCAGACTATGGAATATTATTCGGCCTTGAAAAGGAAGGGACCTCTGACACCTGCTACAACATGGAAGAACCCTGAAGACATTATGCTCAGTGAAAAGGAAAAATACCTAATGATTCCACTTACATGAGGCCCCTAGAGGAGTCATATTCATAGAGACAGAAAGTAGATGGTGGGTCCAGGGACTGAGGGTGAGGAAGGAGGGGAGCTGGCACATTTTAAGGGGGACAGAGTTTCAGTTCTGCAAGAAGAAAAAGAGTTCTGGAGATGGATGGTGGGGATGGCTGTACCACGTACTGAATGTAATTCATACACTGAACTTTAGGCTTAAAATTGGTTAAGATGGTATCTTGGATGCTATCTATATTTTGCCACAATTAAAATTTTATAAAGTGCAGAGACAGAAGAGGCTAAGAAAGGAGGGTGTCCCCGTGAGCGGGAGATCCTGGAACAGGTGTCTGATACCCAGAGTCAAGGTAAGGTAGCCAGGACCTCGGCAGAAGCTGGACCAAGGGCGGGTTTGGAAAAGGATCCGGGACCAGTAAGTCCAGACAGCCGTGTGGGAGCCACGTCCAGCTGGCACGCTTCTGCCAAGGAGCATGTCTCTGGGGCAGCCACTTAAAAACTCCGGGCTGCAGCCCAGGTCCAGACCACGTGTGCCCGGGTTGCCTAGTGTTGCCGTTGTGTCTGGAACGGCATCTTAGGAGGGAGAAAATATCCTTTGCAAAGAATTCCTCCAACAAGAGATGCAACAGAAACCCCTATCTTGCAGGTTTAATGTAAAGAAAGTAACAGTGTCTGCTCACTGATACGTTTGTCCACTCTCTCTCTTTCTCTGCCCATCATCGAGCTTACGCTGACCCCGCTGTGTAAGCAGTGCATCTGGTCCGAGCCCTCCCCAGGTCCACTGGAGTGTTGGGGGTCTTGGGCGGGAGTGTACAGCTCTCTCCAGGAACCCACCCAAAGGTGCTCTTGGGTCCCTGCTTCCCTTCTTCATGACACCTCTCCATTCCCAATCTCTGATTCTTTTTTCACACGACAGACTCCTTCCCATTTCCCTAGAACCCCTTGTGATACAAAGTACCATTCCAATTTCAAATCCTATGGAAGGAATGGAAGGTCACATTACATTGGCGCAGATAGAGACTGTATGGTCTGGTAACCAGCCAGGAATTCGGGTGCAGCAGGTGGCCGTAAGCTCAAGGAAGGAAAGGAGATGGGAGACGTGGGTTCTTCCCACACGGAGTCGAGTGGGAAGGGGCTCACACTACCTACTGGGCTTTTTCAAGTGGCATCCCGTCAGGGTGCACAGAACCACCTGGCGGTCCAGCTAGGAGTTTCTTGTCCCCAGGACTTAAGCTTAGGAGCACCTTTCTTCCCGCCACACCCAGCTGAGTCAACTCAAAGTCAACCCTCGTTGCTTTGGCTCATGAAATTCTTTAATTCTGCTGAAAGATCCAGGTACTGGCCCGTGAATGCTGTATTCCCAGGTGGGGCACATCCACGGTTGACTGAATCTAGCTGGAAGCCTGGCGCTTAGCTGATGTCCTCACCAGGTGGAGGTGGGTGCAGATAATTGTATCTGTGTTAGGTGTGGTGTCTCCGCTTACACGTGGAAAGGTGAGTCTCTCCCTGGCTTCATCCTGGGATATGGGGCACAGATCGAAAGCTGTATGACTTTCCAGTTTCTCAGTAAACTCAGGTAGCCTGATCCCGTCATTCAAGTAAAACCTTTCTCCAAAAAGCCCCCAGGCTTCTTGGATGTAGAGAGGCATAAACTGCTAGAAAGAGCTTCAGACTACAGTAAACGTCCTTAAAGCCTTAAGATTTCAAACAGTACTGCAGTTCCCTAAAAAGTTCAAGAGAATTTCCGTAAGTCCCAGAAACTTCAGTCCTTGGTTAATGCCCCCAAAGAATTGAAAGCAGGGACTCTAACAAACATTTGTACACCCAGGTTCATAGCAGATGATTACTGTGCAAGGTGGAGGCAGTCTTCTCCGTTTAAGAGAATTCTCTTTATACTTAAAAAAGCTCCCTGCAAAAAGCCCCCAGGCTTCTTGGATGTACAGAGTCACAAATTGCTAGAAAGAGCTTCAGACTGCAGTAAATATGTTAAGACAAGACAGACAGTGGGGGATGTTATTGGGAGAGTGTGCTGGTCCAGGCTGTGAATTATCGATGCTCCTGGTCTTATCATTTCTGCTCACTGGCTCTTGAAGAGAGGGCAAAGTGACACCCGCCGTTCTCAGTTTTCTCACTGTTATCAGGTCCACCACAACTGGGGGTGGGAGACCGTTATCCAAGTATGCTCTGTAAAATAGACGTCCAACTGCTCATGTGTTCCGACTCCCCCACTGCCTTCCATGGCATCCCCACTGAGTTGACTTGTGTTCCCCGCCAAAGTCCTAGACTCTGGTACCTGTGAGTGTATTTGGAAATAGGGTCTTGCATATGTAATCAGGTTAAGACTGGGACTAATCCAATGACTCGTGTCCTTAGAAGAGGAAGAGAGAGAGATCTCTCTGCTGTATTAGGAGGCCAACTACAAGCCAGGGAGAGAGCCTCACCAGGAACCAAATCAGCCAGCATCCTGATCATGGACTTCCAGAACTGGGAGAAATACATTTCTTATAAGGTCACCAATCCTATGGGATTAGGACCCCACTGTCATGACCTCATTTGACCTTAATTACTTCTTAACAACATGATCTCCAAATACAGCCACACAGTGGGGGTTGGAGCTTCAAGACATGAACTTTGGAGGAACACAGTTCAGTCCAGAGCAATGGTGGGGATCATGAAGGTGATGGTGATGACGGTGATGGTGGTGATGGAGGTGATAATTATGGAGATGATGGTGGTGATGGTCATTACAATGTTGATGCTGATGATGGTGACTGTGATACTGGCAATAGTGATGATGATGATGATGGTGGTGATGATGGTGATGGTGGTGATGATGGTGATGGAGGTGATGGTGATAATGATGGTGATGATGACGGTGGTGATGGTGATGAAGGTGGTATCTATGGAGATGATGATGGTGATGACAGTGGTGGCGATGTTGGTGGTGATGATGATGTGAGGGTGGGCATGATAAAGTCAGAAGCACCTACTGTCTACTCAATGCTTACTACATGAGAGGAACCGTTCTTAGGAAATACTTTCCAATGAACAGACCCATCCTTTGTTACCAATCACCCTACAGGGTAGGAACAATTCTCATTACACAGACGAGCAAAACCAGGGCACACGGGGTGATAACAATATACAACGTACTCAATATCACCAGCTGGAGAGTGAGTGGCAGACACAGGGGTCCAGCAGAGGCAAGTGGTCCCCACATCCACTCTTCATTCCTAACTGCCCCTCTGAGGTGCTTCCATTAACAGAGGCTCTTGGTAAGGGAAATAAGTGTAACCTGGAAGCCATAAGGTACTACCACTTGGCAATTGTGGGGATGCACACAAACAACCTTACCTCTCAGGGCCTCAGATTTCTCAGCTGTAAAATGATGACGGTTGGCCAAACTTATCACCGAGTGAATTTGTGAAACATTTTATTGGTGGTTTGTTTGAATCAGGGCTTCCAAATAAAATGATTAAAAAAAAAACAAAAAACGACCAGGTGGACTATATACCACATGTTACCAATAGGGGGCAGCACCAATGCCATAAAACCAATGTTTAAAACTATATAAAGTCTTCACACTCTTCTATGTAAAACCATCCCATTTTATTCTTAGCCATGAAATAGATGAAATTCTATAGGGGAAAATCAGACTGCATTTAACGGCATCCTAGAACAAAATTGGGTCATTTGTAGAGAAATGGATGGACCTAGAGACTGTCATACAGAGTGAAGGAAGTCAGAAAAACAAACATCGTATATTAATGCATATACGTGGAATCTAGAAAAATGGTACAGATGAACTTACCTGCAAAGCAGAAATAGAGACACAGACGTAGAGAACAAATGTATGGATATCAAGAGAGAAGGAGGGGTGGTGGGATGAATTGGGAGAGTGGGATGGACACATGTACACTACTGATACTATGTATAAAATAGATAACTGGGCTTCCGTGGTGGCGCAGTGGTTGGGAGTCCGCCTGCCGATGCAGGGGACGCGGGTTCATGCCCCGGTCCGGGAGGATCCCACATGCCGCGGAGCGGCTGGGCCCGTGAGCCATGGCCGCTGAGCCTGCGCGTCCGGAGCCTGTGCTCCGCAACAGGAGAGGCCACGACAGTGAGAGGCCCGCGTACCGCAAACAAAACAAAACAAAACAAAAAGACAGACAAGCCGTAACATGAGTTGGTGAGGGTGTGGAGACTGGTGCAGCCACTATGGAGAACAGGATGGAGGTTCCTCAAAAAACTAAAAATAGAGCTACCATGTGATCCAGCAATCCCACTCCTGGGCATATATCTGGAGAAAACTCTAATTGGAAAAGATACATGCACCCCAGTGTTCATTGCAGCACTGTTTACAACAGCCAGGACATGGAAGCAACCTAAGTGCCCATCGACAAATGAATGGATAAAGATGTGGTATATATATATATATATATATATATATATATATATACATACAATGGAATATTACGCAGCCATAAAAATGAATGAAATCATGCCATCTGCAGCACCGTGCACGGACCTGGAGATTGTCATACTGAGTGAAGTGAGTCAGACAGAGAGAGACAAATACCATACGATGTCACCTCTATGTGGAATCTAAAGAAAAAGGAAGTCACAGCGCAGAGGACACAGAACACGCTGCCAGAGGCAGGGGGCGGGAAGATGGGAAAACGGGGGAAACGTTCACTTACTTGTCCACCAGTTTCTTGGCGAACCCAAAGTCAGTGAGCTTGATGTGACCGTCTCTATCCAGCAGGATGTTCTCCGGCTTCAGGTCCCTGTAGACGATCTCCTTGGAGTGCAGGTACTCGATGGCACAGACGATCTCCGCGGCATAGAAGAGCCCAGTGGAGCTGGAGAAGCGGCCCTGGTTGCGCAGGTAGCTGAAGAGCTCACCACCCGGCACGAACTCCATCAGCATGTACAGGAAGCGGTCATCGTGCCCCGTCCAGAACCTACGGGACCAGAGCGGGAGTGAGGGCTGCGCCTCGGATGGACAGAAAGGGACAGGGACGGACGGATGCTGAGATGGCACTTAGATGGAGGTCGTGCTACATGAACAGGTCATGTTAAGATATATCTCTAGGTAAGACATGATCATACTAAGTGAAGTAAGTAAGACAGAGAAAGACACATACCGTATGACATCACTTATATGTGGAATCTAAAATGAGACACAAATGAACTTATCTACAATAAAGAAACAGACTCACAGACACAGAGAACAGACTGGTGGTCGCCAAGGGGGAGGGGGGTGGGGGAGGGATGGAATGGGAGTTTGGGGTTAGCAGATGCAAACTATTATATAGAGAATGGATCAACAACAAGGTCCTACGGTAGAGCACAGGGAACTGTATTCACTCTCCTGCGATAAACCATACAGAAAAGAATATGATAAAGAATGCATATATACGTATAAGGGAATCACTTTGCTGTGCAGCAGAAATTAACAAGACATTGTAAATCAACTACACTTCAATTAAGTCTTTAAAAAAAAAGATATATCTCTAGGTCCGTGTTAGGATACTCATATACATGGACAGATGCAAGACATGTGTGTGGACAGATGTTAAGATTTGGTAGAGATCGACAAGATATGACTATAGGTATTAGAACAGAAAAGCCAACACATAAACAGATGATTATTTTGTAAGAAAAGATACATCCCTAGGTAGACGTTAAGATACTCATACAGGTGAACCGAGGCCCACATCTGTGTGTGGGGCGATGCTAAGGTTTGGTAGAGAGCGATGTTATTGGTACAGATACATGTTAAGACATGGCATAGACAGATGTCACGTTATGTGTATAAATACACGTTAAGATCGATCTCTAGGTGGATGTTAAGATACTTGTATAGGTGAACAGATGTCGAGATTATGTGTGTGGACACACGTTAAGGTTTGGCAGAGATCCATGTTATGGGTACAGGTACCCATTCGATGTGCTAAGATGTGGCACAGATGATGTTAATGTTACGTGTACAGACACACGTTTAGACACGTATAGGTAGACGTTAAGATTCAAGTGCACGAGGATGTTAGGATACAGGGAGACACAATGCTGAGGGACGGCTATCCTGTCGATGTGCAAAGGTCTCAATGGCCAAGAGTAAAGACCAACTTCTGACAATAAACTGGTGAACAGCTTGTTATGGGCTGAATTGTGTCCCCAACCCCCAAATTCGTATGCTAAGTCCTCACCCCAGGACCTCAGGAGGTGATTCGATTAGAAAATACGGTCTTTAAAGAGGGGATGAAGGTAAAGGAGGTCACTAGGGTGGGCCCTGATCCCACAGGACAGGTGTCCCTATAAGAAGAGATCAGGACACAGACACATGCAGAGGGACGACCCTGGGAGGACACAGGGAGGAGACGGCCGTCTCCACGGTCTCAAAGGGCACCCACAGGCCGACAACCTGACCTCAGACTTCCAACCTCCCCAAACATGCGCTAATAAATCTGCTGCTCCAGCCGTGCCATCTGGGGCACTTGTCTCACAGCCCGAGCAGACTCACGCGGGTTGGGCACACCTCAGGGATCACACCTGGTTCAGTGGCCCCAGGGTTGTCATCAAGACTGCAAATTTCCAGTCCATTCACGATGGCCTCCCAGACACCTGCTGGGAAAGGTGGCCATTAACAAAACCCCAAAGCAAGAGATTTCTAAGCCACGACAGGTAGGAGATGTCCCCAGAGTCAGAAGAGACGCATCACCCTTAGAAAGGCGTTGATTGGCTCTATTCATGGAAGAAAAGGCAGCAGCGAGAAACTGAGGAGAAAAGAATATAGATGCGAGAAGAAGACAGAGTCCTGAATGAATTTTAGAGGTCACGGCAAAGAGGAAAAGCAACACCTACATCCTGGGGAGATCAGCACTGATGGAGAAGAAAGTTTGCCTGTAAAGTAGATGTACCTACGTATGGCTGACTCACTTTGTGACACAGCAGAAACTCATACACCATTGTAAAGCAATTATACTCCAATAAAGATGTTAAAAAAAAAAAAAAGATGTAGGAAAAAAGACAAACGCTCTTTGGAAGTAAGGGCTCTGTTTTTGAGCGGATTTAGGACACAGAAGCGTGACTGATGCACAAGCATATAAAGGTCCCCCTGCAGGACTGGGACACACAGAGGATGATGTGAAGCGATGTGAGGCTACCGTGCCAGCGGTGCCTGATCCCCGAACCCCCAGCCCGGGCATCATCTCTGCTCAGGACACTGTGCTCCCCTCCAAGGCTGGTCCCAAAGAGCTGCGTCCATCTGGGCTTCCATGAAAACAAGATGCTCGGAGGACCTGGCGTCCTTGGGTGAGGATGCTCAAGGCACCATGCACCAGATGGTCTTGCTTGCTGGGATGGGCTGTTCCAATAAAATAAAGAAAAATACAGGCACATCTCACTTCAGCGTGCTTTGCACACACTGCATTTTTAACAACCCTGTTCCGCAAGCAACTCTACGGGCACCATTTTTGCAACAGCATTTGCTCACTTTGTGTGTCTGGGTCCCCTTTTGGTAATTCTCGCGATACTTGAAACCTTTTCGTTATTGTGGCGATCTATGATTTTGGGTGTTTCTATTGCAAAAAAGCAAGTCACGGAAGGCTCCGAGGTTGGTGAGCAATTTTTACCAATAAAATGTTTTTCAGTACGGCACCCACATTGCTTTTTTTTAGACATAATGGTACTGCACACTTAACAGACTACAGTCCAGCGTAAACGTAACTTTTAGATGCGCTGGGAAACCAAAAACTTTGTGTGACTCGCTTTACGGCGATATTTACTTTACTGTGGTGCTCTGGAACAGAACCCACCATTATCTCTGAGATCTGCCTGTCATCAACCATATCAATATATACACAAAGCGTTGGAGGAGATAGTTTGCAATGACCCAAAAACTAGCTGGAAGGAAAGTCACCAAGCAATAACCAAGCGTGGCAGCGGTCAGGAAGGTATAAGTTTATGCAATAAATAAAAAGATGGGGGACTTCCCGGGTGGTCCAGTAGTCAGGACTTGACGCTTTCACTGCGGAGGGCACGGATTCAATTCCTGCTTGGGGAACTAAGATCCCCGTAAGCCTTGCGGTGCGTGCAAATTTGAAA